AGCCCTTATTATACTGCAGACATCGATACCAGCTTCTCGATGTAGTATCAAACCCTGGATCAGACTCGGCGCCTAGCGCAACCTCTGTCCACGCTTCCCGATCTCGTCCTCGAGCACTAAGCTCCCCTCCTCTCCATTTCTCTCCAATAAATACCTTCCGTCTCATCTGAGACAGTCTCGTAGGAGGAACCCCTTCTTGAGGCTCCACCAATGCAGCAAGCAACTCTCCATTCCTCAGAGACGTGCCTCCACCTCTGCGTTCTCAAACTTTGCTGTCCTCATCTTCCAAGAAATCAGCTGAAGAACTCAGTCATTTCGGTCAACGTACAGCTTAAAAATACTTTCGCGCAACAACAAGTCTGACTAGACAGCTGGTCGGTCGTCTGGAGTTAGTACACAAGATGCTGCTGAATGTATGTTCACACTTACTGTGGCAGCACGCAGCCACATTATCCGGTCGGGAGCGGTTTCATTACAGGCACCACTTGTTTCTTAGACTGGCTCACCGTGAGAGCGCTTCCGCCATGCGTGTGACTGACTCACCAGCGCAAGGAAAGCGGCGGAAAAAAATGGCTCTGTATCTGCATGATAATCTGCAAATGTCGCCGAAAGACGATAGTCTTGCGTGTGGAGAGACTGAACAAAACATTTATTTGATGTTCTGCGCAAGAATATCGGTGAATGGTATTCCGGAGGCGCTGCGTTAGAGTGCCTCGAGCGTGCAGCGGAGGCGAACGAATGCATGAAGTCACGTCACACGTGGGACATGAGCACTATCTGGCAGTTTTCTTGGAAAACGAAACGCGCGGCTCTGAAACGGGCGTTTGATAAGGTGTAGAACGCAAGGCACGGGTAGGTGCCACCACCTTGTCGTCTTAGCAAAGCTTTGGAAACACTTGCCTTTTCGTGCAAGCGTTGCATGCTCAGCACACCGTGATAAAAGCTACGGTCCCTATAATTACTTATGTATGCCTTTTCTAGTAAAAGACGCCCATACAGAATATATACCTGCTGTTACGGTGCCTCAGCTATGCGCAATAATTGCAGTTTAATTTACAATCGCACAAGTATGAACGCTCAAGCTTGAGCAACATTGGTGAGCGCTGCAGATGGGGCCGGCCGTTTGGGGTATCACGTGGTGTTGTTTCGAGTACCCAAAACTGTTACGGTTGGTCAAGCAGACAAATGTACAGACAGACAGATAAACCAGACTTTTTGCTTCGGAGGTCCCCAAGAAAGACTGTCGTCTTTAAAAGCTCACGGGGTTCGGCAACAAAGGCGCGAGTAGAGGAGAACGGCTTAGTACCCCGTCTTCAAAGATACTTTCATTATCTTCCATTTTTGTCAGGCGCTGTGTGCCGACTGGCGATCCTTCGCTTGCTTCAAACGTAACTATAAAGCCTTCTGCAGGACAGCATGCAGAGGAAACACGATGAATTGCGCATAATGGAAAACTTCCGGATTTGCACCAAACGTGTGTTTCACCATGTGTTATGATGGTGCAACTCTGGACATTTTCAAATTTCACCATGTTGTCGAATTCCGCCATAGGTGAAGTGTCATTGGCCCATAGAGCTCTCACGGCCTTTCCGTATGGTTTATAATATCGGCTTTAGAAAATTCGACTATATGGTGGAATTCATAGTGTACGTGAGAATACCCCTGCTAAGACACTGACGAGCAATGCAAAATCTAAATGCCAATACTGCCCCAAAAGATCCCGGATGGATTCAGTTAAGATGAGCCGAAGTCGAAAGCAATCTTTTTCTTATCAGTCAATGTATTGATAATACCCAGCCACCCTTCGAGAATGTTCTGAGGCTAACATGGTTTTGCAGTGCCTCAAAGATTGGAGGCACCTAACCTGGTTTTGCATTGCCTCTGTGATCGAGCCGCCTTTCCTCAAATTAGGATGTAATGTGATGATGGGACTATGCGTCGTCACGACACGCGACGTAAGAGTAAGCTCATGATGGGGCCATATAGCCGTCACTGATTTCTGTGCGTCATCGTGGCGTCATTCCGTGACGTCGTCTAAGAATAATGAGACTTAGTATTCCTCGTCCCCGCCGCAGTGGGACGGTGACGATCAAATATTGCCTTTTATGAAGTACCTGAGTCTTTCACCCTAATACAACTGTACGCTCGCGCATTCCTCATATTATTCCCAAAGGAGCCTCTTGTGTCCTTTAAGCCACCAACTCCAGCGGTTTTCTTAGGTCAATGGATCTCAATGAAATTCCCTGGGTACGTTCGTTTGCACAATTCTGTCATTTACGCCAAATGACATGCTGGAGTGATGCGCTGATTGTTTGCAAATAATTTCAAAGCCTGCATCGGACCGATCACCTGACTTGCCAAAAGTATTGGCTACACTGTCTGTGTAGCGTCAGGTTTGGCATGTCAACGGATGTGACATAGCTTATGTCATCGCTAATTTTGGCCGCCAGCGTTAATGCTGGCCACGGGGTGACGGCGGCGGTGTTTGGCACGCAGAAATTTCCTTCCTTTCTTTGTGGTGTTTGGCAGACTTAGCTTGGCGCACTCGCCTCCAGTACGAGTGCCTGCTCGTCCCGTCTTTCGCAGTTTTCCTAACCCACGCCCACGGGACCAGTATACGACTTCTGGTTCTTGAGCAGCAGTACGTCGTACGTGGACACTGTGTCAATTGGGTTTCAGTTTTGCTGTTGTGCCTTTTTTGCTTATTAAAAAGTATTTTAAATTTGCTGAGCATTTCAGCTGTCGGGCTGGTGACAAGAGTGTCTCGGAACATAGAAGCTCCACTACCCTGAGGTGGTCAAAAATCGCCGGAGTTGGCCTTTAAAGGGGTACTAACACAAAATTTTGTGGCCGAGACAGCCTGAAAGATCACTTTTTCATAACATGGCTAATCACATACAGGATATCACTAGCGAATATAGCTTAGAAGAAATTTTAAAGTAATTTTGAAGTATGTGTGAGTGATTGACTTTATAGCGCTATTGACACCCTAAATGAAACCCTTGGGGGCCACCTATACTTCCCTATGCTGCAGCATGGTCCCTCACGTGACCACGCTGCAGCAAGTTTTGAGGACTCATCGCCTCCACTTTTCTTTGATCACGTTTGCTCTAGCAGACTATTACGCGGCAGCTGCTCGCGAGTCCATGGCCATGGCACAAGAGTTTAAAGTTTTGTGCTCGATTGCATTGCTGACCCGTTTTCTGTTAGAAAAAAAACTTCTTGATGAGAACAGCGTAGAAATGGGCGACAGTTCTGTGTGCTGACATGGTCGAGGGTTGTATCCACTGGGTAGTGATAGTTACACACGGTGCATTGTCATTTTTAAACGGAAACTAGCAATGCTTGGTAATAACGAGCTTGTGTATAGGTATCTGTAGCGGGCTGCAGAAAACGATGTGTAGTGTTATGTCTAACAGGTTCTCAAAAGCACATTGCAGAAAAAAAACCTGGGCCTAATTTTTGGGTCAGTATTCCTTTAAGCACTGCTGGTTATGAAACATTACTGAAAGAAATGGTCTCACCTTTTTTTTGCTTTCTTTTCATTACTGCAGCTTTTGTAGGCCTAAACGTGCGTATACGCTTTGCCAAAGCCATGGTATAAAAATTAGGTCTTCATACTCACCACTGCTTAACATTTATTAAAACTCAGTGGTCATTGTGGGCCAACACTGCGTTCATTTGAGAGTCAGTTAGTGGCGCTCGTATGCAATAATAGCATTGTTGCGGAACATTTGCATATATCTTCATTCACAATTGTACTCGTTTTCATGCACATAGCTGCCACAGCACGTGTAAATAAAAAAAAACTGTGGCAAAGGGCAGCGTGATAGCGTCAATCTCTGAGGCCCTCAGAGAAAAAATGACTACAGCAATAGGTGAAAGAAACATTTGACCAAGTTTTGACTTAGACCTGCCGTCGTAGATTAGCGTCTAAGATCGAGGACGCGGGTTGAATTCCTGAACACGGATGCCAACATTTCATTGCGGATGAAAAGCAGCTAGAGCGAAAAAAGCACCATGCAGTGAACTTTCTTTCTTTTTTTACTAATATTGAAATAACTAATGCATGCAAAGCAGGTGTAGTAATTTTTTTTGGTGACGGCCGCCTTTTTCCACGAGGCTGGTGTAATAAAGACAAAAAACATGGAAGACAGTGAATATATATACACACGTGTACAGCTCTGCATTCTGTGACTTGAAAAGTTCTCGTTGTGGCTGAAATACAAACATGGTGCAAACTATCGATGTATTTCACTGAATGCACGTCACAAATATTGGTGTCCTAAAAACTATATGTGTAGGCGCGTTTCCATTGATGGTCATGGTCTATATAGTCGGATACAATTTTATAAGTCCTCGGCATTTGTGCCCCACAGACACATGTACGTATTGTCTGCTCCAATAGTTGCACGCTATAGCCTGTCGTTATGAGCAGGATAGCGGATGACCCACCTTCAAAAAACACGTGCATGCGCCAGGCTATTTCTTTAGTCGTGAAGTCGATCAGCCAGCATGCTTTGATCGTGTAGTTGGTGCCTTTCCCGACTTCCTATATTTTGTCCGACTATATTCGCTAGTGCAAAAGTTATCTCTTAGTCCAACAAACGGAGGGTCTAACGTGGTTGCAATTGACGTGAAATGTACTTGGGACAGTCTAGCAAGTGCTGATGTGAATCCAGTCATAGTTAACATGTCCATGTAATCACCTTTGAGTGCACAAGAAAGAATCCAAGCTGGTGCAGAATTAAACGGGACTAACCATTAGAGATTGTAGCATGTGATCTACAATTGGTAGCTTGCGCCATAAACACCCGCTGTGATGACCGTACAGACGCCATGCGAGTTGCTGTCCCATCTCTATACTGTATATGTAGTCCCGGCATGGTATGCATTCCTCCAAAGAACCACTTAGCTCCTATAACACTGCGTCCAAGACTTTAGAAAATGTAGTTAAAGTGTCAAGTATATTTCTAAAAAGATTTCGTTTGTCTTCGCAGTGATCCAGCAAGAGTATGAGGTGAACGTGCACGACGGCTTTGCCACAAGAGGGAGCACGGCCGTGCTGACATGCCAGATTCAGCCAGCGGCGGCCAAGGACTACACGAGTGTGCTATCATGGCTCAGAGATGACAAGTACCTCATCACTTCCGAAAGTCAGACGCAAGGTGAGAATCAAATAAAAACCTAGAACTTTCTTTTATTATCATGCTACCCGAAAGTCCCCCACAGCACTAAGATCACTCTGAGGAAAGCGTCCTTAGAGAAACACAATAAAATGAAGCAGCATATCCGTGTAGATTGATAAATCATTGTTTACTGCTTGGTGGCAATTTCACAATCATGCGCTCGTTAGCACAAAAAAAGTTGAGACCAAGTTTACGTGCGTGAATTTCGCGCAGAAACTGCGACCCATGCACAGACGACAGTGTGACGTCAAAAATGTGAAGGCCTGTTTTTCCATATTAGCTACATCGACTCGGCTAATTTTCACGAAGCTTTCCATGTTGGATATGTTCTTACCTGAAACTCAATATAGTTTCTTAATAACTTATAAATGATTATGCAGGTCGCAGCAGTGGCTGTCAAAATTTATCATGTCACAGCAGTTACACGTGATATCCTTCAGGGGTCGCCATTGGCGCTTTGGTAATGTGTGTGTTCTTGCTTACCATGAGTTCTTTATATAAAATATTAGTGTTTCGGTAAAGTGAGAACGTGCTGTGCAATCGACAGTTAACAGGAACATGTGAGCTAGAACACGTTAAAATTTTCCTCTCCTGTGTCTTTATACTCGTGTGGCTTACAGCAGTTAACTTGTTAGTTAACTAACATGTTCATATACAGAAGAACGTCAGATGTTTTCTTGGTAACGGTTACAAGTTAGAATGATTGGGTCTTAATGAGCCAAAATAATATATCTTGCCAATAGCACGAGATGTTATCAATTGACAATGGACGGAACTTTTCCCGACATGCTTAACTTAATTGAAAATATGCACGAAGATGAATGGGTTTAGGTAGGCTACCCTCAATCTGATCACGAAGCACAGCGTAGGAAGGTGTACTCTGGGGTAACTATGGGCCCCGGGATTTCATTAGCTTGCGCCCAATACACAGTGCACGAGAGATCTGCATTGATTCCTCACCATAATGAGGCCACCACTGTCGCAATCGAAGCAGCCGCGACCCGTACAACACCGGACCAATATAGCAACGAAACTACATTAGAGTATACCTTGAGTAAATACGATCACAATTCAAACACTAATGAAAGTGTTGTCCACAACCGAAAGGGCGATATAAGTATGATAAAACTTTACCTTAAGTATCGCTAACATCCCTTCTAGCAATACCTTTTCTGAACAGAATAACAGATGCCCTTTCGATGTCGCACTTCCGCTGCATGTTTTACCGCATAAACATAGAATGAACAAGAGCCGTATGATTTTCAGGCGTCCTTTGAACACTACATCCTCATATAGTCATGTACAGCGAGGTGTAGTACCACTATTACTTTTTATCCAACAGTGCAACACATGCAATCCACAGGATTATGTAGATAGCTAACAAACATAATTTTTTAGGTTTGACGTCTCAGAAACGCGATAGAAATATTGGGGACGCCGTATAATAGAGGGCTCCAGATCTTCTCACCACCCGGGTTTTTTTAAGGCGCACGTACGTCTAAGCATTTCACCTTCATCGAAATACAACATGACGGGTGAAATTTGATTTGGTCAGCATTTTTTGTACCTTAGCTACAAGACCGTGTGGCGTTTTAAAGTTCACGCATAGGTGGAGAAGAATTTGTCAAGAACAACTTCATGTTCCACAAGAAAATTTATGATTATGATGAATGCCGAAACGCAGGGCTTCGGATATTTTCAACCATATGGTGTTCTTTGGCGCACACCTAAACCACGAAACCTTCTATTAAGCAATTGAGCAACATATATTTTAGATTTCTCGAGCACTGTCTTTGTCCAGGAAAGTGAAGCCGGACATAACTTGTAGTTTAGTCCGACCTTTACGCGTGGTGGTCAATACAATATGTTATGCTCGTGGTTATACTGACCCTATATAGTGTAATGACCTTCGGTTGCGGTGCACTTTGTGCCTCTTTGTGATTTGCTAATAGTGCGGTTTTCGGCGCCACTGGGTATTGAAAATACATACTCTTTATCTCCACGTGTCTTAAGAATATGTGCTGTATAGCACCGGCTTTGCTGTCACGAAATTCTGCGATGAACCTTCGCCATTAGCCGCGTACTTATTTTAGACTCGAGATACGCATCACTCTTGTTCAAAGAATAAATTTAATGCACAACCATACATGAGTTAGCGCCAAAGCGTGCCTTGATAAGCTCACCGTAACGAAAGCCCGAAAGACTAAGCTTAACACGTTAGAATCATCCCATAGTTTCGCTCCCTGTTGCCTGTGCTAAAAAAATGAAATGGACAAAAGACATCTTCGAAAACGTTACTGCAATAGCATTAATCATGCGCAAAGTAGCAACGAATAAAGAACAAACGTTTTGCGTGGACCGAGAAACCTAAAATGAAACGAGAGGAGAAAACGTGCTGCCCGGTGCAGATGTTCGCACCGCAGTTGAGCCTCGCAAATGCCCACGTCGTCGGCAAAACTCATTGAAATAAAAAAAAGAAAAAAAACTATCAAGAAAAGAAGAGGAACAATGCGATGCAGGCACGGAGAAAGCTTGTGAAGTTAACAGACAATGAAAAGAACAAAGTAAACAGGTGAAAAGAAAGAGGGAATGGGAATGGCAGCGTTGATGAAGGGTTAAAAGTAGCACGCCGGGAAATTGAGGCATGCGCGAAAGAAAGGAGAAAAGAGATTAGCCCGCACGTCGCACCGCTTGGCTCTCTCATCGTGCTTCACTTGGTCTTCGCCGAAGCGGCGAAAGGCTGAAGCCACTTAAGCGGAAACACGGTGGGGTGTGTACGTGACGCGTGTTTAAAAATGAAAGTAGCAAAAGAAAAGCAATCAGTGATATAGAGATGTATTTACGTTTTGCGAGTGTATTCGTGGATGCGCCAGCGGAAGAGAGTGAGAGCAGATGAAAGAGTAAAAGCGAGTCGAGAAAGTAGAATAATTTAAAAGTGTGGTAGATAATGCGCAATGTTCAGCGATTTGTCTACCTTTCTTTCGGCTCACGAAAATTAAAGGTGCGAAGCGTGTTCGTGCGAGCGGTTTATTCGCGTTCCAGCGGGCTTCGGGACCGTTCTGTTTTGTTTAGCGAATTTTCCCTTTCGAATCACCTTTTACTGACAAAGAAATATAGAAATCTCTCAAGAATACTTTCCGCGTTGTACTCGACGTATGCGCTGCTTTAGATATTTAACTATTTTTATCGCCAGCAAGCTTACAAAAGGTCAGTAGTACAACTGCGGACTGTCCGGAAAGCTGTCCTTGTAATGATAAATCAAGGAAGCAGTTCTCAGTAGCTGGTAATGAACTATCTAATTTTCTTCCTGTTGCATTCACTGAAGGAGAAGTACCAAGAAAGCTGTTTAATATTAGTTTGCAACTTGTCATGCAACTTACTGAATTTAATGTGCGCCACTGTATGAGACTACGGGTAATTGATTTACTTCAAACATGAACCACTTTTTCGTCATATTACATGAAGTTTTTTGATTATGAAAAGTTGTAATCACTGCTAGGAAACAGCCACGAGAATACAGAAGACAGCAAGACAATATAGAGATGGAACAGTGTCTCGGGAATAAATTTTATACTAAGTTGAAGAGGCTCATTATCGGATGTACCAGCTCGTCGGAATACCGCGGCAAAGCGCTGAGAAGGTTGTAATAGGGAAAATTCGTATCCGTGTTTTTTTTTAACAGAAAGGTGCGAACGAGAACGTGCACATAAAGTTCTCAAAATCAAAACATTTTTTTGATGTTCGCGACAAAAAACGCGTCCTATAGTGATGTCTTTGATTCAGAATTCATCATTGTCGACCTTTGGACATATAGCTTCAGAACTAGCAATTAGCTTTATTGAAGAAGATTTCCTTCTGCTCAACAAAAAAAAATGCAAAAGCCATAAACGAACGCACCCTGCGGGAACCTACATATGATGAAGCCTTATTTTGAAGCATAAAGAAATAGTATTGCCCAGTGTGACACCTTCCCCTATTGTTTCTCAAGTTCCGTCAAGTACCGTTTAGATACCATGTTTGAGAAAACCGTAGCTCAAATTCGAACGCAAAAAAAAAAAAGCTTACAGGGATTGGCAGAGACAACTTGCTTCCTGCGTTAGGAAACGTCATATGCTCATATTCAGTTTTCGGATGAGACAGGAACTGATCAAAGACAATATTGCGAGAGAGAAGTAGTAGGCATAGCCAGGGGAACACCGGGAGGTTCGAAAAAAAAAAGAAACTGCTTCCCTAGAATAAAAACTTCATAAAGCAGTCAACGTTGTTTCAGAAACTTTTACTCTGATTCGACAGCTTCCACAACATCAACATCGTTACAAACAGGCACATCCGTTATTGTTCTTTCTTTCTACCTTTTAGCGCGTGCATTGCAACTACTGCGCATGGAAACCGCTATACCCAGACACAGATGCACTGCTTTGGCAGAAGAGAGAGAGAGAGTGAGAAAGAAAAGGCCGGGAGGTTAACCAGATATTAGCATCTGGTTTGCTACCCAGCACTGGGGGCAGGGAAGTAGGGGCAAGAAAGAGGGGATAGATAGAGAAAAAAAAACAAAAAAACGCACGCACACTCATAAAAAAAAACGAAAACACACACAGGAAGGGCGTCCTAGCTACAACCGTTCAGTAAGGCCGGTCGATCGCAAAAAGTTTAGTAGCGCTTTCAGGGCCCTCTTCTGTGAAGTCGCATCCTGACGATACTGCAGAATTCCCTGCTCCGACAGAGGTTGATCATCTAATTTGTTGAGTTCCTTGCGAAGGCATAGTCGTTGTTTACTATACGCTAGGTACTCACAAAGAATATGTTGAATTGTTTCCTCTTTGCCACAGTGGCCACAGGCTGCGGTGTTGGCCATCCCAATGCGGAAAGCGTAGGCGTTGGTAAACGCAACGCCCAACCACAGCCTACATAACAGGGTCTGGTCTGCTCGGCAAAGCCTCGACGGGACTTGAAGACTTAGTGTAGGGTCAAGCGAGTAC